ACGGGCATTTGTTTTTAAAAGTTACGTTCTAAATGTGTTTTAAACGTCTTTTAAACGTCTTTTTAACATTAATGTTTAAAAGACGTTTAAAAAACATTTAAAATACATTTAGATTGTAACTTTTAAAAACAAATGGCCGTCGAGATGTTTAGCTTTAAAAACACTTTTTGACAAAGTTTGGTTTAAACTAAGCCAAGTACTCTCACAGTCAATTTTTTTTTACAATTTCACTTTCAATGTGAAGATTTAATAGTGTCGAAATTTTTCCAATTGCTGAATGTGCTCTTGATCCGCTTTAAGGTGTTAAAAAAATTCTCTAAAATAATTTGCAGCGGCGGTACTCGAAAACATTAGCAATATATAACATGGACATTTGGAAATGTAGACTAGAGATTCTTGGAATATTGACAGTTATATTGGAATATTGAAAATTATTTAAATCAGATCTTTAGTGTTTACTTTCCTACAAACTAAAATATCTGTCGGAAGAAAGTTTCTGAAACGGATAACCTATTTTCCAAAGAATGAATCGATGTTGTTAGGATATTAGGTTCGACTAGTTAGTATGGAGTTGGCATGTAGGTCAAAACGTAATAGAATATTTTTCCGCCCGAAAGCCAATCAATAACTATGTTTAACTAGGATACCAATTTAGATTTTTCAGTAAAAGTGGTACCTTCAGCACAAGTAATTTCAATTTGTTGCCTCTTACAACCTCGCAGGCGTCTAATATTTAAAGCATACACTTCTGTATCAATGTGGGCTTTTGCTTTTTGCTCCAGTTGTTCTGAACATCATTTCTTGCAAGAAAGTAAAAAGAAGTCAATGAAGCTCTTCAACTACTGCCTGGTCAATATCAACAACTTGGAGCATTCCGCTAATCCTATTAAATCTCTTTATAATAGAACTCCAGCTAATGGTTATCATGGCAGTCTTCAGTCTTCAGTCTTCGATTTTCTCGATAAGCCCTCTAGCTTCAGATTGTGCTTTTGCAGGCTGCATATTGTCCTCTTCTAACACTTTAAATGCTTTCTGCAATAAAAAATCTTGATACTCTAAAGTTTCGGAATCCACCTCTTCGGGCAGCACAGGCATTAGCACGCGCTGGCTTTTCGTTTTTTTTTTTCAGCTTGACGTTCTTATTACGTTTTGAAACGTAATATGAACGTCAAAATAGTCATTTAGTAAATTTATTAAAGATCCTGTTTTTAGTTTTTTTACTATATTTTAAAATAAACTGTAAGTTAGACCAAAATTTAAAAACAATATTACCGCCAGCATTTCGATAAGTTTCTCTGAGTTTTAGACTTACGGTATCAATGGTAACCAATTTTTATTTTATTTTTATTTTGTTTTAGGTGCTCCTAGAAGGCCTAACGGTCTTGTTACAGAGCACTGGGGATGAGCATTTAACGGTCTTGTTACAGAGCACTGGGGATGAGCATTTAGCGGTCTTGTTACAGAGCACTGGGGATGAGCATTTAACTAGGAAGTTTACACTGGGACAAAATCAAGTTTTTTGTGCTAAAATTATTTTATAAAAGTTTTTTTGCTATTATTAGAATAGCTATATTTATATATAAAATACATAAATAAAGTAATAAACATGTGATTATATAATACTAAAAAAAAAAAATTAAAAAATCAAATTTTGGTGAAAAATACGAAATATTTTTAATAAACAAGATAACTTTTATCAGTGTAAACATCAAAAATGTTACATGTATTTGTAATAAAATAACTTTTTTAGATTTATATTTACAGAACTTATATATTATAATAATAATGAAAGATTTTGTAGACATTCTTTGTGTACGAAACATCTTTTTTACTAGTATTTCTTATTAACTGACCATTAACCGAAGGCCAATGTTTTGTTATAACTTTTTTTATTGCAAAATGTTGCAAAGTATTTATGATCCATGGCTATTTACATACATTTAGCATGAGATTTACATTATCAAATGTTTGGAGGATATTGAAGGTTGGTTTATCTGATACCTAATAGTAAAGGTTAGTAGCAAAAAAATTATCGAAATTTTGAAAAAAACATTGTTAATCAATTTTAAAAAATAAAAAAAAACACTGCTAATTTAAAACAATAGTAGCGTTAGAAAGTTGATAAATAAAAAATAAAAAATAGCGTTTTGGAACAACGTGTAAATAGCCGCATAACATAACGCTTAAATGAACATCTCTTCACCATGATGACAAATTTTCACCGTGCAATGAACTTTATAATTTTTTTTTTTTGTCAATTTTATTTAGGTGCCCCAAGAAGTCCTTAAGGTCTTATCACAAATCCTTTGTTTCTGAGGCAAGTGCGCTTCCACTGCGCCACGGCTGCTCGAATGTGCGCAGCATTACTGTGTGTTTGTCAGTAAAATAATTTTTTTTTCTTTAATTAAAAGTTTCGATATTTTTCTAAATATATATTTATAGCTTTTTGAAATCTTGTTAGTTGATACCCATTTTCAACAAAGACTAATTTCCTGATCAAGACATCGTTGGCTGCAAATTTTATGAGCTTTATCTATAATCCGGTTATTTTATGTTTTACCGTAATTAATTTTATTTTTACCGTAATTACTACTTGACCAAAACAAACAATTGAGCAAATTTAAACGTGCTTTCTTTTAGTAGTCCCGGCTAATATAAAGTATATTTAATTTTTTTTAATAGCATTGACTAAAATTTTCTTCATTGCATTCTATTTTTTTTTTTAACAAATTATTTCTTATTGCTTGAATAATTTTGTAAAAATTAAAACGGGCTATAAATTTAAATTGGCTTATTTTACTGTTCGCTGTAATGCTGGCTCTTTTTCCAATTATTATAAATGGAATTTTACTTTTTACTTCTTTCATTTATTTATTTTAACATAAAAGATCACTAATGTTGAAATAAATAAATGAAGCAGTTTTTCAGATTTCACTTATCTGAAAATAAATAAGTGAAGTAAACCGCTTATATTATGAATTATTAACTTCAATAAAGTGGGATTTTATAGTTATGTACATTTATATGCAGCAATATTAATTTTATATTGTTATAATTATTTTAATTTCCTTTGATTCAATTTTTTTACTTGCTGAAGCAAATATTTTATTAGTTATACGATGCAAGTAAAAAAAAATAAATGAAAAAAAAACAATTTAATTATAATAATTATATTATAATAATTTAATTATAACAATTAATTATAACAATATAAAATTAATAATTTTTAATCATTATTATTAAATATTATGAAAAAAGTATAATATTTATATTATACTATAATATTATAATATATAAAAGCATGACAAAAAAAAAGCCAATATTGGGTTTTTTTTTATTTTTTATTTGCTTGCATAATCTTGATCCAAGCCTTGGAAGTACATAAGCAACCATCACATTATAATACTTGTATTAATATTATATAAAAAAGATATATAATTTTTAAAACAAATATTATAATATGCAAAATTACTGCAAATAATCTGCACAGTTGTACTTAATTTATATGCAATTATCTACATAATATGTTAAAATATATTCTCCTATCTTTTAGAGTCTTACCTTACATCCATCTGATTATTATCTTTTTAGTTCTTTCAAAATGTTAGACATCCTCAATCTTATTGTTATTGATAAAAACACTACTTATTTTGTAAGCAATAGTTTTTATAAATTTTTCTTTACCTGGTCAAACAATTTTTACTATGTAATATAAATCACATTCTGATATCCTATAAAAATCTTTACCAACCAATATATATCCTGTAAAAATCTTTACAATGCAATCTTTTACCTCTTTATAATGTACAACTGGACCTTAAAGATCTAAAACTCAATATATCAATACACCAGAATGACCAGCCTTGTTTAACTTAAATAGCTTAATTTAATTAACTGCAGGTTATCCGTTCTGTTGATAATCTCATACACAGCCATAAACATATAATCTAATTTAACTTAAAGTGCAGAAACTAAAGCCAAATAATCTTTGCTCAAGAACTATGTTAAATTACAAAATTGGTATCTATATTAAATTGTAAAATGGTTATATATGAATAGTTGGGGGAGAAGTTATATGCCTAAACATTTGTGCTTTGAATAAAGCTTGTTTTTTCTTACACTTAGCCAACCAATACAAGACTGTCATTTTTTAATTAACTATCCACTAAAAATTAATAATTATCTGCTAAAAATTATTTTATCTCAATCTCAAGCCCAGTCAGCTAAATTGTTCCATTTTGCAATTTTTAAAAAAATTCAAATTGAAGTATTTTAAAATGGAACAGAAGATTAGATTATCCATTCAAATATTTTATATTTTAAGTTATTACCAATATCCGTTCAGTTCATAGTCATTATTCATATTAGTGTATTATTTATTTTAACTTTAACAATAATTAGCCTGTCAAATTGTTTCTTTGCTAACATGAGAGATATCATTTGTCTAATACTGGTTAGTTTATATCTTCTCTTAAAATATTTAGTTCATTTTTAATTTGGTTCATTTCAACTATTTTTAATTTACATTTATCTCCCAGAAATTCTCATATCTAAGGTAACATTGTTCGCTAATGATACTACCATTTATACTTGTCTTGATAATTGACATCATTCTGACTTTTAATTATATATATATATATATATATATATATATATAATATATATATATATATATATATATATATATATATATATATATATATATAATTAAAATTAAAATTTGCAGATTGGCCCTCTAGTATTGTTTGGCCCTTCCCAATTGGCAGAGGGGTATATGGGGTAGCTTAGTCATGGCTCTGTATATATATTTATCTTTATATAGATAGTTAAATTGCTCAATGTATAATTGAGTAATATATATATATATATATATATATATATATATATATATATATATATATATATATATATATATATATATATATATATATATATATATATATATATATATATATATATATATATATATATATATATAATTTTAGTTGAAAATATTTTTCTTTTTTATTTTTTCATTAATGTTTAAAGTTCTGTTCTAACATGGCCTCTGATGAAGAGTTTGAAAGTTTTGAAATTACAGATTTTGATTTGGAAAGTGAGCTTTATCCTGGTCAACATAAGAAACAAACAAAAGAACAGGCAATATATGGTGTATGGGCAAATTCTGATGATGAAAATGATGGTCATATGCAAAGAAAATCAAGGAAGAAATTTGAAGTTTCTGATTATGTTGATCCAATGGGATTTGTCAGTGGAGGATTGTTTAATGAAAAAGGTAATAGTGAGTATTAATAATAACAATTGTATGTTTAACTGCATGAATTATTTCATGCACACAGTATATTTTTATAAACACATAGATTTACTCATAAGTTTATGGATAAACACATTTATAAAGTATAGTTAAAAAAAAAAAAGACGATTTATAAAGAAATAAAATGAAAGATTACTGTCTAATTTGTAATAGTATTACTAAAAATTAATTTGATTTTTACTAGTAAATTCTTTGATTTTGTAAACTTGACCAGGTTGAACATAAATACAGTACAGACTTATGATTTTTTTATTTTTATTAAGTTTCTATTAAAATTTTTTTTCCTGACTATCCACAGCCTATTAAGATCTTTGCCGCATTATTCAGTTTTGAAGAAAATTAGTTTGAATGCTAAATCTTTTTTTCCTATAAAAAATAAAAAGTTGTCTTTTTAAATGTGTGTTGAACGTGTAGACTTAACTAATTACCTCAACACATTAATAACTTAAGTATCTCTATCTATGTGCAAAAAGTTCCTACCACTGTTTTGATGTTTATTGCAAATTTAAGCTTTTTAAAAGCTCTCTCTCCATTTTGTTTTTTATAGTATATTATATCTTTATATATCAACAATAGAACTTTAAAAATGTTTTAATTTGCATTTTAGAAAAATGGAAAAGATTTTTAAAAATTAGTATGCAAGGGACATTATTTGAACACTAACTTGGTCTATCGAAGTGAAGCAAGCTAACCATTTCAACCTCTAAGACACACTAAACTGTCAATTTTTAACACTATTTAAAAAACATAGGATAAAAAATAACTTTATATAATGGAAAATAAATGCTTTAGTTCAAAATTAAGAAGATTTTGCTGCAATCCTATTTTTAAATAAAAGTAAAAATCTATAAAACTTCAAAAGTGTTTTATTTTTTTATTTTAAAAAATTGAAGAAGATTATAAAATAATAATAATAATGTGGAGGAGCAAGGATGCATTTTACTTTACAATGCAACACAACTTTGCAATGCAAAGCAAGGATGCATTTTACTTTATAATGCAATACAACTCTGCATTTTACTTTGCAATGCTACAACCTAACCACTTGATATAATACAACCTAACCACTATATAACTTTTGACATTACATAATTTGAAGTTTATATAAGTTAGATATTTGCATACACTTTTGTTCACATTTTCTGATACAAAAGGTGCTGCAAATATTTCTTGCTACTTACTTGGTGTAACGGCTGCCATGACTTCCGTGTCAAACACTCATGAATGGGTAACAGCAGCATTAAGTTCAGTATTAAAATATTATAGGATTTAGTATTTGAAAAATTATCACCTTTTAACTATTAAGGTTTTATCTATCCTATGTCACTAAGTAAATGCAATACAAATTTTTAAATAATAACTAATAACTAATAAATAATAACGCAACAATTTCAAGAAAGATATTAAGTCATAATAAAATGTATGTAAATGATTCATAACATTTTTTCAATCAATAAAATTATTTGTCCTTAAAACCGTACCTTTGGGGTGTTTTCCGGTTTTGTTGAGATTGTCATGGAAGATGGCTAGTTTGCACTCAAGCAAACTTTCTCTTATCTGTAGTTAGTGGTTTTGAGTTGCACGATATACTTTGTGTCAATAATACTATTGTCAGCAATTTCAGTATTTGAATGAGAAATATCTCCTAATGGTGCCGAGTCTTTAATGGGTACAGTAGGTTCTTGTCCGCTTGGAAATTTAATGTGAGGCATCACAAACAAAGAGGACATTCTTAAAGCACTTTAATACTGAAGAAGAAGTATCAGAGCAAGGAAAAGTGAATGCAAATTGCGAATATTCGGTATTAACTGTAAAGATATAACAATTTTTAGTTGATGTTGGAAGTAAGCTTTTAAAATCTATACTAGGTGTTCAAGTGGTTGGGTTGCTTATAAGCAACCCAACCACTTGAACACCTTGATATGACCTTATATCTTAATAATTTGATATATTTTATATCTATATTTATAATATAGATATAATTATATTAATATATATATATATATATATATATATATATATATATATATATATATATATATATATATATATTATAATATAGATATAAATATTATAATAAATTTAAATTTGTTTTATTTTAGAAATAAAATATTTAAGTAAAATAACAATTGATTATTAAAGTTTTTGTTTTTAAAAAAAATGTTAAAATATTTTATGAAGAGGTGATAACCAATCCCCTCTATGCTGAAAGGTCATTTAATAAAATGTCCGAAGATGCTCTTTTTCCATCTATATGATCTTTAAAGGCATTTACGGATTGAGCCCTGATCGCATTCGGCGCGAGTGCGTTCCAAGGGTTTACTACTCTGTTAGTGAAGAAATGAGCTCATTCTTCACAATTATTAACGTTTTGTCTTTCGAATCGTTTGTTATGGCCACGTAAATTGTACGTTGATAGAGATGGTGCAAGTTGCTGTTTATGAAAAAACGAAACTGCTTCGAAACCGTTTTGTATTCTGAAGTTTTAAATGAGATCTTCCCTTGTCCTACGGGTTTCTAGTGTTGTATTACCGAGTTTCTGAAGACGAGTTTCGTACGAATCATTCTTAAATTCTGTGATGAGTTTAGTTGCCCTGTGCTGAACTTGTTCGAGTTTTTCGATATCTCTCCTGAGATGGGGAGAACACGGTTAAATTGCGAATTCCAAGTGCGGTCTCACGTACCTTGTGTATAGGGTTTTCCATAGTACTAACCCTTGACTGCAGAAAGCTTTTTTGAGTCTACCTAACATGCTGTTAGCCCTTGCTGAAGCTGATTCGACTTGTTGACAAACTTTCAAGTCGTCGGATACTAGAACTCCTAGGTCTCGCTCAAGTGTATTTGTTTCTAGATTATGTACGATTCCATTTCTGCCTGTCATCGTATACAGTTGTGTAGATTTATTTTTAGCTTTTCCAACATGCATTACTTTGCATTTATCTAGATTTAGACTCATTTTCCACTTGTGTGACCAGGCTACTGTGCTGTCTATGTCTGTTTGTAAAGATTTTACATCATCATCATTATCGATAACTCTTATAATTTTGCTGTCATGGGCATAGATTTTGATATGCTTTTCTAAGTTGTCCGGCAAATCGTTTATGTAAATAATAAATAATAAAGGGCCTAGTACAGACCCTTGCGGATCTCCACTAGTGACTTCTTTCCATTTTGCTCCGTCAATGACAACTCTTTGTTGGCGATTTGAAAGCCATGTCTCTATCAATTTTAAAAGAGCTCCGCAAATCCTGTACGCTTGTAATTTATGAAGCAGTCTTCAATGAGAAACTATATCAAAATTACGTAGCACTCGAGAGTGAATACCATCAAAACCCATAGATTTGGATTCTTTAAGACTTTATAGTCTTTTTCTTATATTTGACTCGGTAATGAAGGAATCGTCTGGATCGCATATAACTTCCGTACGTGCTTCAAAATTTTGTAGCTGATCAAGTGGGTCTGTTTTGAATACTGACTGAAAATAATCATTCAAGATTTTAGCGACTTCGTTTTTGTAGGTAGTTATATTTCCCAACAAATCTTCCATAGTTCTAATAGTGTCTTTGACCAGCTTTTTATGTTTAATGTGATTGTGTAGCTTTATTGGGTCTGATTTGAAGACATAAGCGATACCCATTTCATAGTCCACTACGGCCTTTCGAACTTCTTTTGAGACCTTTTTACAAGCGAGTTTGTGCTCCAGGCGTATCGAGCACAAACCTACCTGCAGCTAGGAATTTTAGCCATGTGTCTCTTTTGTTATTTACTGCTTCGTTAACTGACTGTGTATTCCACGGCTCTTTCTTTTTCTTGAAAGGCTTTGTGGTACTAGGAATATATAGTTTTACGGCCTCCTTATATTTTTCGATCAGTATTTTGTAGTTTTCACGAGTTGATGACAAACCTACTGTATTCTCCCAGTCATGGGCTGTTATGTATGCCAAGAGCATATCGAAATTTGCTCTACTCCATATGAAATGTGGGTTGGTGAGAGTACCTTGAAGACTAGATTCAGGTAGAGCGTACGTACCTTTTATCATGCAGTGGGCTTGTCGCCTGGGTGTGCGACCCAAAGGTTCGCATTCTTCGAGAAATATAAGACGATCGGGTTTATCAGTAATTATTAAGTCAAGAGTACTTACTGGTCTGACATCTAGAGAATTGCGGTAAGTTGGGAACGTAATTGTCTGAGTAAAATGACATTCGTCCAACCATTTCTGGAATTTGATGTTTGTTTGGTGTTCGTTTAATATGTGAGCAGCAGTAGCAGAGTTACCTCCAGTATCTAATTGTTCATATGTTGTGTGCGAAAAGTTAAAATCGTCATATAAGAGAAGAGATGAGCATTTAAGGCTCTCGAGACTGCGCTTTGCAGCTTTGATTGAGTTGATGATTTGTGCTAGAACATTATCATCTAGGTCGTGTGGTCGGTATATGCAGCCTACTAGAACCAAATCATTTTGGCATTTAATGATTCTCTTTATCTGTTCGATGTTTGCCGGCTTTTGTAGAATTTCAATGTTAGTTTCGGATACTGTCAAATTGTTTTTGATGTAGATAGCTACTCCGCCTGATCGACCATCTCTATTTCTGATAATAGCCTGATATCCTTCGATGTTTGTGTCTGAATTGTCGTTAAACCATGTCTCCATGAAGAACATGATATCCGGTTTATTATTTGTTATTTCCGATTGAATTCGTGCTGTCAATTCGTCCTTTTTTGAACTGTTTAGTGAGCAAGGGTTGTGTGCCCAGAAGTGCAATTTATATACGGATTCTTGGTGAATTGTGGGTTGCAGATTGTTTAGCTTTCGATTTTTGTGTGCTGTTGGCTTTGAGTTGATTTGTTTTAGGCTTTGTTTTAATATAGACATAAATATTATAATATAGATATAAATATTATAATATAGATATAAATATTATAATATAGATATAAATATTATAATATAGATATAAATATT